ACTACAGGCATATGCCACCATGCCCGGCTAATTTTTTCTATATATTTTCAGCTGGCCAATTAATTTCTTTCTATTTTCAGTAGAGACAGGGTCTTGCTCTTGCTCTGGCTGGTCTTGAACTCTTGATCTTGTGTGATCCTTCCACCTCGGCCTCCCAGAGTGCTGGGATCACAGGCGTGAGCCACTGCGCCCAGCCTGACCTGCTATTTAATGTCATGAACAGCTGGATGTAGAAAGCCCTTGTGTTCTTGCCTCATTTTCCCTTTCAGAAGCTAGCAAAGCTCCTGCCAGTGCCCGGTGGCCCATGTTTTCTTTGTCCACCTTGCTCTGCAGTGTGCGGGACTGGAGTTGCTGTATTTGGCCCCACTATGTCTGCAGGAACTGGCCAGCTATTGAAATTCAGGAGGAATAGTGGTCAGGGTATACATACATAGTTTTTGCCCCTCTCTGTATGTATGTTGTGTTTTATAATAAAAATGAAAACTCTTGTATAGCAACCTAATTTATAATAAAAGATCAAATCAGATTTGCTCTATTTGGAATGAGGGAAAACCTACTTTGCTGGTGTTTTGACATAGGCCTTTTTCTGTGCTTAATTTTACAAATGAGAACATCCAAGCCTACTCTTGGTAAGGGTGTGTCTAGCGTCCTAGCCAAGTAGTGGCAGGGCTGTGGCAAGAGCCTGGTCTAATCAATAAGTTACTCTATCTCTTCATTTCCATTTCTTTTTTTCCTTGTTTGCTATTGCTGACAAATGTCATATTTGGCCCCATGAGCTCTGCCTTGCCCTGTATTCCTTTTCAGTGAAGGGAGAAGGAATAAACTCGGAGATAAAGATACTTCCAAGGCAGAAGGATAGCACTGGGCTCCCAGAGTCTCCATGGGGTCCCTGGTGGGGACCTCAGACTGACTATCTCGTGGTCACCTTTGCCACCTCTTGACATGGAGGACAGTTATTTAGGAGATCTAGAATTTTCCCTTCAAAGAATTTCACACAGCAGAGGTGGTTCCCAAACTGTGCCAAGGTGCCTTAGGGCACCACAGCAAGCTCAGAGGTGCCTAATTTTCGAATGCAGCGGAAGTTCACATTTGTTGAACTTGCATGTGAAGCACCAGCTTGGGGTGGTTTGCACTTCCAGCATTAGATCTTGCGTCATTCTTCCTGATGACTTTGCATCCTTGCAAAGCTGGTTTTGCAGTGGTTGTTTGGACCTAACTACTTCATATTTGGAACTGTTAGGCATTTCTTTTGGCCTAGGGAAGCCAAGAAAAATGTGCCGAAATACCAGGGAACCAAGAAAGTTTGGAAACCTCTGTCTTAGAAGATCTGCCCGGATAGACGCACTACAAAGCCACTATTTCTTTTAAATCTTCGGGCTTCATGTTATTGATTCATGCACATTTACATTCCACGTGTCATTGGTTGATTCCCTTCATTCATTCCCTGAGTAGTCTTCAGAAGAGATGGTGGGACTGAGGCCTGGAGAATGAGTAGGAAGTGTTTAGAGAAGAGCATTTCAGACTCCAGTCAGGACCAGAGCAGGACTGCAGAGATGCAAGCTGGGGAGTAGGGAGGCTAGAGAGATGAGTAGTATTGATGTGTGAAGTGACTTAACCTGGGGATGGGGGGGTGACACTTATTCATGGCTTCAACCCCCAGGCAGCCTGGTTGTATCCTTGGATTTCTCCAGGCTTGACTTCCACTTGCGAGCCTGTTGGTCCTCCGTTTCCTACCACATGCCAGACACAGAGATGCCTAAGATACTGTTCTTCCCTTAAGGAGCTCACACAGCAGGGAAGGCAGACATGGGTCCAGCAAAGTCTTCCTAAGTAGAAGGCAGTGAACACTGCTGGGAAGCTGGGGCCCTTTCTCTCTTTGCCACTCATGTGAGCTGCTTACCCCCTCGGAGTGTGGTCAGTAGATCAAAGCCTTGGACAAAGTGATAGCCAATTCCTTCCTACCTTTCTCTGCAGCTCTTATCTGTCCGTAGTTATTCAGTGCTTCAGAGTCACAGCTGTGGGGAGCATTCTCTGTTCTGTGGAGCCTCCAGGCTGAGAGCTGGCTGTGCCCCGGGGCCCAAGCCCTAGCCCTGCTGCCACAGGGAGCCAGTCACATCTGCAGTAGGCAGCACCTGTTCCTCCCCTTGGTGTTGCTTGTTTCCTCAGTGGCACAAGAATTTGTGGCCCTGAGTCTGAACTCAGGAGAGGCTAGAGATGCTACAAGGAGCCATGAGAGCAGGTGCTAGCAACAGAACAAGAGAAAAGAGGAAAGAACATAGTCAGCCTCACAGACTGTGTGTCATGACAGGTCTGGAGTGTCCCATGCCATGCACTACTAACTTGAGAATCCCAGACTCGTAAGGATTCTTGCCTATTCATGTTCATTTATTCAACTCATTGTATGCCAAGATACGAGCAAAGCAAAGTCCCTGCCCTTGTGGCGCTGACCTTCTGGTTAGGGAAATAGCCAGTGGGGGGGAGGGCGGGGAATGTGTAATATGATGTCAGGTGGGGCTAAGCACTGAGGGCCAAGGGAGGGGAGAGTGGCCAGGGGACTGTTTTAGATCCTGTGGTCAGGTCAGGCGAAGTCTCTCTGAGGTGGTGACACCTGAGCAGAGACCTGACAAAGTGAGGGGGTGAATGCTGCAAATAACTAGACAGCATGTCAGCATGTGCAAAGGCCCTGGGGCAGAAGGAGGCCAGTGTGACCTGTGAGGCATGAGGAAGGGGGCGAGTAGTAAGCAGTGTGGGTGGTGGGAGTGGTGTCCATGGGCCAGATCATAAAGGGTTAATAGGCCTCGTAAAGACTTGAGGTTTTGTATTCAATGTGATGTGGAACCGCCTGAGGGTTTTGGTCAGGGAGGGGACACGATCTGACTTACTTTCTAGAGGACCCCTCTGGCTTCCATGTGGAAAGTGGCCCATCTATTGGGAGTCTCTTGTGGTGGTCACGTGAGTGCAGACGCGCCACTGACCCTGCTCCCCAGCTTGGTCGGTTTCGAAGCTGCCAGCAGGGCACAAGCTTGCTCTCCTGCACTGTGCAGTCAGCGTGAGTGTGTGTCAGGAGACGGGGCCTTAGCTTCCTAGGCCTTAGTCTCCTCTTCTGGAAATTGAGGGGACTGGGTCACCTGGTGAGTTAGAAGGGAGGAGGACAGTGGGATAGGGAGCTCACGTTTATTGACTGCTGCTTCGTGTGCGAGACTAGCCGGGGGCTTTCCTGTGTCACCTCATCACTCCCGAGCAGAATGCCCAGCTGGCTCCCGACGGATGCTGAGTGTCTGTCACCTCATGATTCTGTGGAGCAGGTCCTCCCAGAGCCCGTGACAGCAGGTCCTAAATTCCTCTCTGTCTGGTTGTGTAAAAGCGTGACAGATGGTTCGTGGGCTTAACAGAGATCCTGATGGGTTGGATAGACCAGCATTGAATAAATATGAAACAAGTTTGTAAGCTAAAACTTGAATAGAAACAGTATCTCTGGGGACAGTAGAACTCAATTTGTCCTTGAATGTCATATCAAAAAGGATATGTTGAGATTAGCTCAAGCCGTCGAATAGCATCTCAAGATAGTGAGAAAGCAAAGAACTAAGCTTGCAGGTTTGTGCTGATGGCCCATTCCCGGGAGGTTGTAGAATGGTTGTAGAATGGGGCCCAGAGCCCTGGGATGCTCGAGCTGCCCAGACCAGCCTTGTGGTTTCCTGGAGGTGGTGGCAGCCACCAGAAGTCACATGCAATGCAGTGTCCCATTGCCTAATTGCTGAGGTGTGACTAAGGCATTTCCGATTGAGTGTGGGCACTCTGGCTATGGTGAAAGCAACCCACCTGGTCACAGCCATGATTGCAAAATGCAATGACGCGGCTCCCAGGGCTGAGCCAGCCTCACTGGTAAGCGGCAGACATGACTGCTCAGTCTCACATGCTCTCGCTCTGGCCTCTGTTGACTCATGTCAGATCTACCTACCTGCTGGGTTTCAGTGGTAGAGATACCAGTTGAGCATATTTCAGGGGAACCAGGTTGGTGAGTTGGGGGGCTCCAAGACTACTTCTGGTTCAACCATTCGCCAGGACTCACAGAACTCAGCACAGCTTTTTATTTATGATTATGGTTTATTACAGCAACAGGATGCAGACTACAATCAGCAAAGGAAAAGGTCACACAGAGTAGAGTCCAGGGAGAGACCAGGCACAAGTGTCCAGTTGTCCTCTCTCAGTGGAGGAACACAGACTGCACTTAATTCTCCCAGCAAGGATGTGTGACAACGTGTATGAAGTCTCTCCACCCGGGGACACTCACCCAAGCCCTGGTGTCCAGGGTTTTTATAGGTGGTCAGTCATGTAGGCACAGAGCACCCGGGTATCTAGCTCACCTACTCAGTGTCCAGTACCCTAGGACATCACACTGACAGTGTCATTCAAAGCCCCAGGAATAGGGAATCAGGTGCTCACCGTAAATCTCACTGTTAGTGGGAACTAGCTGTATGGCCCTCAGGCTCAAGTGTATAGAATGCTCTTACCAGGCAAGATGTTCAAGGCTCAGAGGTTATTTCCCAGCAGCCATTCAAAGGCCAGTCCTGAAGACCTTTGGAATATGCTGGGTTTGGGGCGACCCAGGCATAGTAGTTGGGGAAAGTGTTTGCTGTCAAGTGGCCTCTCTGTCACGTGGAACCTACCCCTGGCTATGTCCTTGTGGAGTTGAAGGAAGCCCCATGGCACCGAGAGCCAGTGGCTTCCATTTTTTCTGTTTGAAGGGGACCCAGTCCCAGCTCCAGCCTTAGCCCACACCCAAGGTATGCCCTGGCGGGTGCGGACACCCCTGGGGGCCGTTTCTGTGTAGTTCCGGCCCAGGGCTGCAGCGTAGGGGTGGAAGCCTTGCAGAGCAAGCTGTGGCTCGTCTGCTGCCACCCTGGGGCACAAGGCCCAGGCTGCTCAGATGGGGACCCCAGGTGGCCTAGGGTGCACCCTGCTCCTCCCTGCTCATGTCTGCCATTTCTCTCTCCTGACAGTTTCAGGATCGACAAGGGAACTCCCACATGGACGCCATGCCCGAGGTGACGGCTGTAGATGTGTCTCTCTTCAGCGTGACAGACATAGTTCTGTTCTCACTCATCGTGGGTCTCCTAAGCTACTGGTTCCTCTTTAGAAAGAAAAACGAAGACGTCCCCGAGTTCAGCAAAATTCAGACAGTGTAAGTGGCACTACCCAGCACCCTCTCTGCCACTCCTTTCCCACATCCCTGAGCGCCTCTCTCACCATGCCAAGCACGTCCTGCACGTGGGCCTCAGGCTGAGAGAGAAGTGAGCCTCCTTGTAGCATTTTGGGTCGAGTCTTGGGTTTTGCTTTCTTGGTAGACTGAGCTTCAAATCTGCCTTAATGATCCCTTATGTTTACATAGCACTTTAGAGTTTATAAGGACCTTTTATATCTGCTGCTCATTTGAACTAAATAGGAACCATTCAGAGTAGAAGACACCATTGTACAGACAGAGAACTTGAGGTTCAAGGGTAGTAATCAGGCCACCCAAGGTCATCAGCCAGTGAAGGCGGTGCTAGAGCTGGAACCGTTTTTGTTTTACTCCAGGCCCAGTGACCCTTCCATTTTGTAAGCAGATGGCAGCCTTTTGCATAGACTGTAATGGTGAGATGGTCACTCCTTTCTAGTCCTTTCCATTACTGACAAGGAGAGAGTCGAGTGTGTGTTGCTAGTATGTTTTTAATACCTAATAGTTGCTCATTTGTCTTTTAAATGAAGGAGCCATCTTAAGCTTAGAGCCTTGGGGAGGGACCATATCAAGTTTGACTTTACTAACATTGTTTTGTTTTGATTTGATTTTTTAACCTTCCATAAAGCTTCCTTTTAAGAATGAGTAGAAAAGATGGATTAGTTCAAAGACAAATATTAAGGAAATAATGTCAATAGTACAGATGGTATGTAGACAGGAAAAAATGATGGTGAAGGTGTGACTAAGAAGACTATTCCCCTATCTCCCCAGTTGATTTCTGAAAGCCACATGTGAAAATCCTTCTCCAGACTTTCGGGTCTTGCAGCCAGAATCATTTATTGTCAGCCGTGTTTGACCCTAATCTCAGACTCCAGAGGCCAGCAGCCAGGTTTGAGTGGGGACGTACCAGGCCACAGCCCAGCCATGGGTGACCCCCTAGATTCATCAAGGGGCAGGTCTCAAGCCAGAACTCCCCAGGCTGGAGGTGCAGGCTCACATCACATCCTAATTCTCTCTTCTAATTTGGGTAACAGCTTTCTCTCCTAGAAGAGTTAGTCCTCAAACATTAAAGTAGATATTCACAAAACACCGTTCTTGTATCACGGACAGGGCATTTTAAAAAACGGGGTTCAAGGCCAGGCACAGTGACTCACACCTATAATCTTAGTACTCTGGGAGGCTGAGGTGGGAGGATGGCTTGAGGCCAGGAGACCAAGACCAGCCTGAGCAAGAGTGAGTCCCTGTTGCTACGAAAAATAGAAAAATTAGACAGACATGGTGGCATATTCCTGTAGTCCTAGCTACTTGAGAGGCTGAGGCAGGAGAATCACTTGAGCCCAGGAGTTGGAGGTTGCAGTGAGCTATGATGACACCACTGCACTCTAGCCTGGGTGACAGAGCCAGACCCTGTCTCAAAACAACAACAACAAAAAAGAACTGTGTTCAATCTTATTGTCATCATTAATTCACAGAGCAAATATTAATATTTACTGAGGGCTTACTACAGTGTCCCAGACTCTGTTCTAAGGTTTGTGGCCACAGCTGTGAGTAAAACAGATGAATGCTGTCTTCATCAATCTTACACTGTAGCACTGGGCAGACCCTGGGCACGACCCTTAGACTCACTCTGGCTCCGTTTCCTCATCTGCTAAGTGGAGGCAACAACCCTGATCTCACGGGGCCGTTGTGTTAAATGAGGAAATGTTCATAAACTCTCCCAGCATGGTTCCTGGCACAGAGCAGCTGCTCGGTGTTTGTGTCAGGTTGTGTTCTGTGCCAGGCACCGTGCTAGGCATTAGAAGGACCACAGAGGTGCTTTGCATTAAAGAAACTGGGAAATGAGGGTGTTGAAGGGTACTTTTTAGCAGTAGTTTATGAATTGCTTTAACGTACATTGTCTCATCGGGGCCTCCTTGCAGCAGCGCCACATGTGAAGCGTCATGGGCCCCTCGATGCGCACAGGGCCTGGTGGCTGTGGAGTTGTAGGGCAGGGCTGGTGGACTCAGGCTTCCAGACTCCAAGAAAGAAGGGATTCCTTTTGGTGGCAGGATCGGACTGTGTCCTGAGGGAGGGGTGTTGAGCAGGTCCTTGAGCGTGGAGCCCCCCTCCAGGCTGAGAGGACCGAGCAGAGGGCCTATGTGGGCCATGCACATCAGCTGGAACCAGACTGTTCCGCCAGGGCTGGTACAGTTTGCATTCCGTGTGTGGGAAAGTATTTTTGGTAAAAAGGTGTAGTATTCAAGATAAAGGGACCAGTGTCTGGGTCCCAGCTTCCAAACTGGCCCTCATTCCATCATCTGTAAAACGGAAGGACCACCCCTGCCCTAAGCAGGGACATGGGTGGACTGTCCAGGTGTGGAGCTGCCTCCAGAGGTGGTATTTCCATCATTCCTCATTCATTCACTCACTCTCTGGTGAGGTGAGTGATGAATCTGAAATAAAACTTCCAGGCCGTGGGAGCTGCAAAAGTCCTGAAGCACTTGTGTTTCGTTGATTCTATTCGTTTCTCTTTGCTAGGATGCTAAAACTGTATCTCCCTCCTCATAATCCTAACATTCTAACCTTAGGTGTGTGGTGTCTGTATGTTACACATTCCTGTCTCATCCTTCCATGTGTCATGCTGCGTACCTGCTGTGGTCAGGGTTCCTACCCGTGCACCATGCAGAGGAAACATGTACAGTACAGTGATTAAGTTCTGGACCCCAAAGTTGGGTGACTAAGATTTGAATCTTGACTCTGCTATGTTAGCCATGTGACAATGACCAAGTTACTCAGTCTTTCTAAGTTAGTGTCCTCAGCTGTGAGCTGGGGTTAAGAATACTGCTTACCTCACAAGGTTATGAAAATTAAGTGAGTCCATTATAGAGCTTTGTGTCTAGTTCCTGGTGTGTGCTAAGCCCTCAGATGTTATATATTATTATTTTTTTATCTTAAATATTAATATCATTTCCAATCTCACAAGTGCCCTTCAACAAAGGCATTAATAGCCCATTTTGTAGATGAGGAAACTGAGGCATTAGTAATGGGGAGTTTGCCCAAGGCCACCTAATTTCTAAGCAGCAGAGCTAGCCTTTGAACTAGGTCTACAAACCCCAACACCCAAATTTTCTCTGTTTTACCATGCTGCCTTCAGCCTCTTAAGATAGTGTTCATGTCCCTATAGCTTGGGTATCACTTATCCGAAATGCTTGGGACCAGAAGTGTTTCAGATTATGGATTTTTTTGGATTTTGGAATATTTGCATTATACTTAACTGGTTGAGCATCCCTAATGCAAAAATCCTAAATCCAAAATGCTCTTTGAGCATCATATTGGTGCTCAAAAAGTGTCAGATTTTGGAACATTTCAGCATTTGGATTTTGGGATTAGGGATGCTCAGCTTGTATTTCAGAGAAAACTGAGGCTTAGAGAGATCACTTGGCTGATACAACTGTTCTCAAGCCTGGACCTCCCACTATAAATCCCACCTTGGTGTCCCTGGCTGCTTGTTTCCAGTGAGCACAGGTGGTCTGTGCCTCAGTGCCGGGCTGTGGAGAGTGACAGGGCTTAGTGTGGGGAACGTACGTGACCCAGGGCTTGGTCAGGAATTCTCATCATGATTTCTGGCAGCTTCTAGAATTGGTATTTTAAAGTCTTTTAAGATCTTAGCCACCTGGAAGGCTGTGTGCTAATGAGCAGGAAACCTTTGGATGTGGATAATTAAACAAACAAACAAACCAGTGGGCCAACTGTAGTCTGGCAGCAGGTACTTTGAATAGCAGAGAGGCGTAGGAAACATCTCTGCAGTCTACCCCCAAGCCCAGCCTCGGACTTCTAGGCTCAGGGGATCCAAGAGAAGCCCCTGGGTGCTCAGGTGACTCTCCCTGTTATGCTGGCCTCTGTGGCCCTCACTCCCAGTCTTGATGCTTGGGGAAGACTATAAAGAGATGGTGACATTTGAGTTGTGTCTTGAGGGTGGAGCAGGGTTTTGACAGGCTGAAGTGGTGTTCCTGTGGCACAATGGGAGAAGACCACGAGACTGGGGGTGCTGTTTGGTGGGTGTTGTCTAGGATGGGATGGGGGCAGGGGAACGTGGAAAATGCAGTTAGAGCAGCAGGTGGAAGCCTGACTCAAGGGCCACATGGATGGTATTCTGCGGACCCTGATTTCACAGTGGTGCCACAAAGGCTGCATGGAGGATGAAGGGAGGCTGGGAGGCCGGGAGACAGGTTGGGGGGCTGTTCTGGGAAGTGGTGTAGCAAGAGATGGTGAGGCCTGAAAAGAGGGTTCAAGGAGAAGTGCATCGAAGGTTCAACTGATGGGCCCGGGTCCAGGTGGGTGTGAGAAGCAGGCTGGAGAGTTGCGGGGCTGCCTGGAGTGGGCAGAAGGTGAGGCCGCAGGGGTGGGTTTGGGAAGAAGAGTCTAAGACGTAGGGTTTGGGGATTCCTTTCAGGCACTGGAAAGAGAGTAACTAGATAGGGCCAGGGTGTTGAGCGAAACATAAATTTAAGAAATTTTGACACCTTTGAAAGCAGTGGGGTATGAGGACACAACTAGAGATAAAGAGATCGCGGCTGTTAGAAGGGAAACAGTGAAATCAAACAATTTTGGGGAACCGAGAGGGCCGTGGTTAGCAGGGTTGAGCTTTTCACTGCTCCTTTCCCTGGTCTCAGGTCCTGAGGGCCGAATGGGAGAGGTGAAGGAACAAGAGACCAGGGAGGGCAGAGACAAGAAGCTCAGCTCTTGGAGGGTCTCGTTAGTATTCATTTGTAAACTTTTTACTGGAGTTCATGACATGCATACATAAAGCACACAGATCACCCCTCATGTAAAGCTTGATTCCTTGTCAGAAAGTGAACATGCTCATGTAATCAGCACCTACTGGGCATAATGGCTCACACCTGTAATCCCAGTACTTTGGGAGGCCAAGGTGGGAGGATCGTTTGAGCCCAGGAGTTCAAGACCAGCCTGAGCAACATAGCAAGATC